CGTTGGTTGGTTTCTGGGCTGATAAACTTGGCTGGTGCCGGTTTATTAGAAGAGGAAAACACTGACTGGCTGACAAGCACTGACTCCGACAAGCGAACTCAAAATAAAAAAGAAGCACCGGAGCTTCTGCAATGCAAATCCAGAGAACAAGCCCAGTTGGTTTTACAAACAGCAGTCTACTACAGGCTGAAGTATCGTGTCAATTTGCAGTCCAAAGCACTACACTTTCGGTCTAATCTGAAATTCTGCCGAATTGGCTCCAGACTTCGCATTCCGCTGTCCTTTCCGTTCGTACCTGCGTCATTCGTCGTTGCCAACCGATACAAACATAGCACGACCGGCCGCTTGCTTGCCTTTTTTCTTTTCTGGGTTATTATTACTAGTACCCAAACATGGCGTTAGAAACAATGCGAGTCCTCTTTCAAAATATTTTTAAAATGCAGCGTATTTTTGTGGGCGTCAATTCCCATCTTCGTTCCAGATAAGCTCTGCTCGATGCACATTCAAGCAAGACGAGCACAGGCACGCACGTTCGATCTGAGCGATGCCAGAGCAAGCGGCTGGTACCGTGGCGACCGCGGTGATCAACGGGATCACCGACAGGGCACTCACCACGGTGATGCGGAAGCTGCAGTCACGATCCCGCTCGGCGGCCACGGACGAGAAGCTGCAGCGGCTGGAGACGCTCGTGCTCAAGCTCCGCTGCGCGGTCGAGGTGTCCGAGAAGCACGCCATCGGGAGCACCTCGCTGCTGGAGTGGCGCGACAGGCTGAGGGAGGCCGCCGCGGAGGGCGGAGCGGTCGTCCTCGATTTCCAGCGCCGAGCCAGGGAGGAGTGTGGCGAGGCGGCGTCAACGAGCGCGAGCGCGAGCGCGCCCGGCCAGCAGCAACCCGCCGGCGCCTTGTATTTCACGAGGAGTGCTCTGTCTGGTATGGCCCAGCGGGTGCGCGACGTCACGAGGAGGCTCTTCTCGACCGATGAGAACAAGAAGTAGAGCAGCGACTCCGACTCGCCAAGATGAGCGCACCGGCATCGATACCGGCTGAGCGCATTCAACGAAGAAGGGTGTCGAAGGGGGACGACCATCCCGCTGTCTTGCGCTTGCCGAGCATTCGATCCTGCCCTCGAAAGAGGGCGCTGGCATCTCCATCCCGTTGTTCGGGTGAGAGCAGTGGCAGGGTGACCCTGTGGGATTCAGAGCACAGATCAAGGAAGATGAGCTTTGCAGCTTTGTTCATACAATCCAGAGCTTAGCTAGGAACTTGGTAGGTTTCAACAGGTTTAATTTCATTTCGTCTGCCTAAGTAACTTTGATCCTTTCCCATATTAAACCAAACCAATGTGCAGTAAGCTCTAGGCAGGAACTTGTTGCCACCAAAGTCTGTCTATCTTCCAATGAAGTGAGTTCATATGTACCATTAAGTTCAATTCACAACGCTGTGGCTCCCCCGCTTTCCAAAATATTTCTGACAGAAGTGTAATTCTCCTACCATTTCTGACAGAAGTCCTTTTTCCCCAAGCACATGTTGGCACCATGCTGAAGTGTAGGTGCATCACCAGAAATATATATTCGGTAGGAAATATCCTTCAAGTGATGTAGCTGACATTCTGACACCATTCCTGCACAACGGTCAAGAAGGTTGTATAAGTGCCCTCATACACATTCTGTTCTCTAATACTGAAGTTCAATGCTTGAAATGGGACTCTGTTGCTTGCCATTGGGGAAAGGCGATGCAACAATAGCTTAGGAATATTTGATCTACCTATGTACGACAAAAGGTTAAATCTCCTGACTACAACAGACCAGATGATCCAAATTCTAGGCATACCAACAGCAAGTCTATAAGACAATACAAATCTACTTTTGACATCCTTTTGGCCAACAGGCTGTTGGGATTTAGTCCCACATCGGATATCGATGGTGGGAGCACAACATATAAGGCGGGGGCAATCCAACCTATAAGGCTGGTCTTTTGGGTTGAGTAAGGCCCATGACCTTATATGTTGTCAGCTTCAGTGGACCTGGGACTTATGGGAGCGAAGGCTCGTGGTAACGAGCAAGCCAGCTCCAAGATCGAGAACTCGGTGGTCACCACCGGTTCCAACACAGGCAACAGATAATACAAATAATGAAACAAATGATATGCTGTGCCAGCTGAGATATTCCACTTAATTGTCCTGCAAGTTCTCATTATGTTTCTATCTCAACTCAATTGCTTTATAAATCTTAATCCTAAACTAGCAAAAGTGTCCGTACGTTGCAACGGGAGGAAAGGTAAATGTTTGATATCTATGTGTTGTTTTGTCTTGAAAGCTATAGTTTTTCATTTACATCATTATAATTTTATTGCACTCGACGTTATGCTAAAACGTATATATAATTTTGACTCAATATATTTTCTTCTACTTAAGTAATCAATTGCATCTATGCCATATCGCAGGTGAACACGAAAGGCCAAGAGCGCACGTTTTCACTTCCACTTCCAATTATACCATCAAATAATCAATAAATATAATGGAGCATATTGCATACCAGTGAATTTATATAGTGTATAAACACTTTATCGTGCAAATTTTGTTAAAGTCGAGACCAATAGGACACAATTAATCAATGGGGAAACATAATACCCTATCTTTTCTTTTCTTTCTTTTTTATTTTTTCTCTTCTTTCTTTTTTCTTTCTTTTTCTCTTCTTTGTCATCCTTATCTGCTATATGTGGCCTCATCCACTCACACCCCGAGGCCTCCAACTTCGTCCGCCTGAAGCCTTGCCAAGGCGGCCATGGAGCCCTGACAGGCTGACGGCGCCGTCTCGTTAGATTGCCCCTCCGTCGCCCAAGCCGTAGTCTCCGCGCCTCGCGCCATTGTCGTTCCGGTCTCAGCATCTTTTTACGCCGCCTCACTTGCGCTGATATGGTGCCTTGCATATTTGGTTTAATTGGTGTTCAATTTAACCCAATTTGTATTCAGCTTATTTATTGAGTTGTTTTATTGTATTCGATTTCTCCTATCATTATCGTTCGTATTTATTTATTGAGTCATTGTATTGTATTCGATTTCTCCTATTGGATTCGTATGGGGAGTCCATCACGTTGGAGGTGGAGACACAAATCAAGGAAAGGAACATTATGGATAGAATAGAAAAATTATTAAAGATTAGATCCAAACTGAACGACACTTTGAAAAGAGGATTACCGGACAAGAAATCAGAATCCGAGTAGAGACCGGAGTTGGACGAAAAAAATTGTGGCAGAAATTTTGCCTCTTAACCTCTTGTAGTCATAAATATAGGTCCAACATAAACAACTCAGGCTGTTAATAACTTTGGATGATCACTGTAACACGTCCGATAACCCCAACGGCTGCTGGGATCGGCTGGGGACCGATCAGAGGGGTTGAGGGCGGCGGCGGCGTGCTGTACGGCTGCCTGGCCGGTGTGGCGGCGGCAGCCTGGCTGCAGTAGGTGGCGGCTTGGCTGGGAGGAGCTGCGGCCTGGCAGGAGAGGGCGGCGGCGGCAGGGAAGAGAGGAGAAGAGAGGGGCAGCGTTGGGAGAAGAGAGGGAGGGAGAAGAGATAAAGGGTTTAACCCTAAACTTGCTTAGTTTCTCATTAAATGTCTCCCTCATATATATAAGGGGGGTTACAATCACTAATGGGCCTGGCCCAAGGGCCTAACCATCTATTAAGGCTAAAACATAATAATTCGGCCTATTGCCATTCCCTAGCCACTAACTGTAGACTTAGGGTGTTGCCTCCTCCTAGTGTGGGCCTTGCCGATCATGACAATCACTTTGAGCTATTAGCGCGGAATGCTGCTTCTACTTCTACTTTAGGATTGAATACCTAATAAGAAGCTTGTTCTCTATGGAGATGAAAAAGTTAATCAAGCAACCAGCCGTTGACAAGCCGGGAGATGACGCTGCTTATCAAAATCCTACAGTATGATAGTGGTTGTCTGGTTGCACAAAAGAATCCCATAAATCTGCTATGAGCAGGAGGCAGCAGTTAAGCAGCACATCTGATACCTTCTGCTTCAGTAGTATCGTGCTGTCAGATGTGGTGAGGTGCATCCACAACGTTACAAGGTACTATTCTCAGTAGCAGACCCAGGAAGACGCAAGAGCCCTGGTGATGCAACTGTGATCCCCTGGTATGCCACTCCCAGCCCCAGATAAGCATCCTCAGCAAATGGGCCATGTACTGGGCCCTAAGAGATTAACAGGAGAGGAGCCCAGGCAAGGGCCCAGGGTTGCCGGGCCCTGGGTCTGCCCTTGACTGTTCTCAATCTACAAAGAGGTGGAGAAGTTGCACAGTACACTGAGAGGTCAGATGATCTATCATCTGATACAGAAAAGTTCATAAGATCGGTTGAGCGGGAGGTTCTGGCAGAGAGCCATAAGAGATCAAAGCAAAAGGCCCAGGGTCCAGGGCACACTGGATGTGAAATGTGTTCTGTAAAGTTGAGTCTGAAAAAGAAAGCTCCTATACAGTGGAAGAAATTATCTCTCTTTGATGCATACTGGATGCCAACAAAGGAGAGTGCAGCGCACAGGTACAAATGTGACATCAAATCATGAGGTTGGTGAGATGGACTTAGTTGCCTCGGTCTATGCCTCCCCCTCCCCCTCTGCCTACCCCAGTGAGAATCTAATGGCAAGCAAGAGGCATGGAAAGGTCCAGGGAATTGGCAGAAACCAGTAAAACCATGAGAAAAGAAAGACAAGAAATTTGGAGAAAGATCCATTTATCGGCAAGGAAGAACGAAGAAATGGAGAATGAGATGTGGAGGAAAGGCTTAGAGCAGTGAAGACAAAGATCATAGAGCAAATTGAGAAACATATAGTTGCGCATACAATATGCTCCTACAAGTGATCTTCATTAATGTGTATCAGTAAGACTCAGTAAGCAATTTGAAATATCTAAATAATAAAAAAGTATGCACTTCAACACAGCTTCCAATATCCTTGAACAAGCATCAAAACTCTTGGCTACTGAAAGCTTTCATATTTCAAATGAATGGACGAACCTTGAAAGATTTGCAGAAGCTCCCTTGAAATTATCATTAACATCATCTTCTGCAATGCCCTCGTTAATGGACAGTCAGAAACAGGATAACCTGGTGAAAAACAATTGCATCACAAGAAAACGTTGCATGAACAGGAGCCATTCTTGAAGCGATGGAACCGGCTGCGATCACGCACTATGATCTCCCGATTATAAACCAGTGAAATGCACTTTATTGCTGCATGACAATCCGAGCATACCCGGAGATTCTTAACCACACGGACCTCTGTACCAGGAGGAGTCCTCAGTAGCACAAATGCAATCGCCAGCTTCTCGCTGTGCCACTGAAGTGCGCCCTCCTTATCCTCCTCGTCAAGGTCAAGGAGAACCTCTGATGTAGCTGAGATGTGCCCAACACGCCTTAGCTCTCTTGCCATCTCCTCGACCATCATGTATATCTCTTTCCACTGTGGGTGCGACTCATCTCCAGCTATGAATTCATGAACCTCCCCATCAAGCTCAACAAGGCTGCAACCTGGCACCTTTTTTATTCCTCTCTTGCTCATCTCTCTCCTAATCTCTGATTTCTCCTCCCACCTCTGTGTCAGCGCGTAGACATTGGAGAGCATAACATAGTTGGCCTCATGAGCCGGGTACTCGTTTAGAAGATTCCTGGTGATGCTTTCACGAAGCTCAAGCCTGCCATGGGCACCGCATGCAGCAACAAGTGTCCGCCATATTATTGGGTTTGGTTTCATGGGCATCATATGAACAAACTCCATTGCTCGCTCGACCATGCCAGCACGACCAAACATGTCAACCATGCAGCCATAATGCTCGATCTTAGGATCAATGCCATATTCCATCTTCATTGAATCAAAGTAGACATAACCTTCATCAACCATTCCAGCATGGCTACACGCAGTGAGCACCCCGATGAACGCAACATCATCAGGCCGCACGCCAGCAGTATTCATCTCCTCGAACACCGCCACAGCCTCCTTCCCACGACCCTCCATTGCAAGTGCATCAGTCACTGAGGTCCAAGACACAACAGTCCGCTCCTCCATCCCTTGGAACACTGCCACAGCCCCATCCACGTCACCACACTTGGCGAGCGCGTCTATCAGCGCATTGCACAGCTTCACAGATTTCCCAATCCCCTCCCTCTCCATGAAGCGCCCAACCCACCGAGCAAGCTCGAGTGCTCCCAAATCTGCTGCTGCTGCTAGAACACCAATCACTGTGACCTCATCTGGCCACACCCCGCTGGCCTGCATCTCCCTGAACAGCCCAACTGCATCACTCGACAGCCCCCCACGCACATACCCGCCGATCATCGCGCTCCAAGTAACCGCACTCGATTTGGCCATTCTGTCGAACACATTCCGCGCGTCCCCGAGGAACTCACCGCCGAAGCAGGAGCACATGTGTATGAGAGTATTGGAAACATACTGGTCGGTGGCGAACCCGAACTTGAGAGCCGCGGCGTGCGCCTGGAGCACAACGCCCGGGGAGCCCGGGAGCGCGGCGCACGCCTTGAGGAGGAACGGGAAGGTGAATTTGTTCGGCAACACGGCGCTGCGGAGCATGAGCGGAAAGAAGGCGGCGGCGCGGAGGCGGGCGGAAGTGAGCGGGGAGGCAGCGTGCGCGCGGATGAGAGTGTGACGAGGAATGCGTCGATGGGGACGGAGGGCCCGAGGAGCGCGGCGACGAGGGGCTCGAGCAGCGCGGGCGCCGCGGAGGCGGAGGACGCGAAGAGCCTGGTGAGGACGAGCGGGTTGGCGTGGAGGCCTGACTTGAGGAGGAAGGCGAGGGACTGCAGGACGGCGGCCGGCGCGGAGGAGCGCTCTAGAAGGCGGAGGCAGTGCTGCTCCGCGGCCCGCGCCGCAGACGGCGGGTAGCGCCAGGCCGGTGCGGTGGAGAAGCGACGGCGCGGATGCGACGGAACGTGCGATGGAAGCGGCGGCGGCATTTGGCCGAGCGCATGCCCGCCAGGCGCGGGGCAGTGTGGTTTTGAACTTTAAAAAAAAAAACGCAATAGACACTCACAGCAAGCACGCGCACTCACCGAACACAGCTACGTAAACCCTACCCTGCGCATTGGCAACTGTCAAATGGAAGCAACCCCCTATCGGAAGCCACTCCGATGTCTGAAAAGTTTGATGAAAGATTTTTTTTGACATATATAAAGTTTGAAAATAGATCATGGACAGCCATGCAGCTGCAGAAAATCAGTGTTGCTACAGTTTTTGTGACATGCATGGCTAGCAGCGGCAGCCGCTGCCCGCCCTGTTCGCTTGAACTTATGGCTGTTCGTTTGAACTTATCAGCCGTACGGTGTTTTTCTCTCCCAACAAATCAGCATCATCATCAGCGTTTTTCTAGCCAGCCGAACAGGGCCGCTGCTGTAAAAAACAAATCAGGATGGATTGCAGATTCAGTTCTGCTACAGTTTCATGGATTGCAGAAAATCAGCCGCTGCTACAGTTCATGGATTGCAGAAAACCAAATCAGGATTGCAGAAAATCAGCCGCTGCTACAGTCATGGATGCTTCTTGCTTGTCAAGGTCGCGTCATCAGAAACAATCAGGATTGCAGATTCAGTTCTGCACTGCATCTACCAAAGGACCCAAAGCTAGTAGTAACAAGTTTAGCCCTCTTCTGTGATAATCAAGGCCAGGCACAATTTGAGTTCCCCGGACCCCGTAAAGAGCGGGAGCTCTTTGCACTGGGTACACCCTTTTTTTTATAACAAATCAGTAAAAGGAGAGTTCGTCAGCTGGGACAACAAATTTGGCCTATATCTGTCAACATCACTATGATCAAACACTAGGGTACATGTGAATTGATTCTCTTGATTTGAAAATCTCGGAAAATTGTACAGTATGCCTCCAAATGGATTTGCCGGTGATGAACAAGTTCTGTATAGGTTACAGTGATGATAAACTAAGCTGCAGAAACTAGTCAGCATAGGATGTCAGGATCTACGAGTAGATTTTCCATATCCCCAGTCCATAACCTACTTTGATCAGCAGGAGCTCGAATACCATGTGCATGATGCTTGTCATGCGGACTTTGGAACCAGGTATCTCGGTCCAATTAACAGATACTTCTATCATTGGGATCCAGAGGTGCTTGCACAGGTATACAAGCTCAACATCAAAACACCACCTGCCCATGCAAAGAAAGGCAAGTTGTAATAACCATCCATACTACGTTGCGTAGAAAGCAGATTTGGTAAACAGCATCACTAGACTTCAAAGAAGATAAAGAGAGCAGAAAAGAATACCTCTTCAATCTGATATTTGTGAAAAGCTTCCTTGCAGCTGCTCGTGTGAACATCTTAAACCCACACTGGAATTGGTAACAATAAATGAGACCGTGAACATTGTCATTAAAAAAACACATGTAGTGTCAGTGGCGCTTGTTTATTGCAAGAACTTATATGGTTGAAACAGAATACCTGTGTATCTTTAATCCCAGGACCAGCAGTTAACAAAACTACCAAATGGAAACCTTTCATAAGAAAGTTTCTATACCATTTCCTCTGCAATAAAGCAGGATAAGAATGAGCAAAATACAAGGTGAAAACTTAGTAGAAAACCAAAAGACTGAGGGTAGTGAGCAGTAAAGAGAATTACTGTTGCAAGAGCCTGCTTCTCTAGATGAGCTCGGGAACCAAAAACAGCAATTTCAACATCAGATAGATTATGAGATGAACTAGTAGATGTTCCTGGGCTAGACTTAGCTTTCTTAGCCAATGCATGAACCTAAGTGCGAAAAAGAGAAGTTCCAAAAAAAACTAATTCAATACCAACCAAATTAACTTCCAAAACTTGATGTTTGATTTATCTTATGACGGAGACAGACCTGAGCTTCAAGCTTTTCCAAATCAGTCACTTTAGTTGCACCATCAGCATCAAGCATGAGTAATAGTTCACCACGTGAATGTAGCATTCCCTATTAGACCATGCTTCCACAAAAAAAAAAAGGAAAGCACCAATTAGTTTAAATTTGAAACCTAAGCCCTAAGGTATATCTAGGGATTTAAACACTCACTTTTCGGACTGCTTCACCTTTCCCATGATTTCTCCCAAGTAGAAGAACTCTAACATTATCAATCTTGTGTTGCTTTACAAAACCGAAAGCGACTTTAGAGGTCCGGTCAGTGCTACCATCATCAACAATCAAGACCTTGACAGAATTGGTTAAATTCCGAAATAAGCTAGGTTAATACAGGTTACCATCATCAACAATCAAGACCTTGACAGAATTGGTTAAATTCCGAAATTAGCTAGGTTAATACAGGTTTCAATAAATAAAAGGCTCTGCACTAAAATGCTCATAGTTTGCCTGCGCCCTGCAAGCTGCAAAGGGGATTGCAAATTGCGAATAACAAGCTAGATTTCCACATACCTCGTAGGAAAAGGACTTGTCAGCAGTTGATCGCCGCTTCAAGTAGCTATTATAGAGAGGAAACAACAAAGTAATCAATATAACAATTAACCACTAGCTGCTAAGGAAATTACCAGTATAGATTTCAAGGCACAGTTCAAAGTTCAAAGATAAATATAGCATTGAGCTGGAGTAGCAAATGCCTTACTTGAGTGTTTCTGTAAGAGCCTCGGGGAGTCGATGCTCCTCGTTGTAGGCAGGAACTATCAACGAAATATATTTATCAGGAGGATCAAAAACCGACGGACAGGGAACCTATAAAACAGTCAGTTCAGACAAGCAAATCAGCAAACACCTAGCGTGCACACCATGCCACAGCACGGGACGAACACTGCAAGAACAATCAGTACACTACCTTCTTGAGCGAGTTGGGGTCCTCGAAGAAGGCGTCCGAGACGGCGGACCTCTCCAGCCTGCGGCCGAGATCCAGAACATCGCAGCAGTCAACACGGCAAGCAGATCGCGGGGGAAACGAAGAGGATGAGACAGGAACACGGAAGCTGACTTACGAGTGCATGCATCCGATCTTGCGGATGTGCTCGAAGAAGACGGCCGCTGCGCCCAGCACCAGGATGGACACCTGCGCAAAACACGGAGAGATGGCGTGAGCGCCGCGGCGAGGAGGAAGCAGGGACGGAGGAGCAGGGTTTGGGGGGCAAAGGGGAGGGCGGTACGAGGGTGGCGAGGAGGAGGGTCAGCGAGAGGGAGGCCGGGAGAAGGCCGGCGACGGCGGAGAGAGGCCATGCGGCGGCCATCATCGCGGTCCCGACGGCCGGCCGGTGCCGAGTCCACCCGCTGCTATGCTCTTCGAGTGGGCTTTCTGGTGGGAGATCTGCACGCCGAAGACGTATAGGGTTAGACTGCGGGCCGGCCACGTTGCACATTTGGCATTTGCACTTGCAGGGTTTTCTGTTTTAGGCCATGTTTAGAACACGTTTTTTTATTAAAAAACACGTATTTTTTAATCATGCATTTCTTTTTGAAAATTTTGTATTAGACCATCTCCGAGAGTCTCTTTTAAACTCGCTCTTTAAATTATCATGCGGAGAATCATTTAAATAAATATTATTCAGTCTAAAGAGTTAGCCCGCTCTTTATTTTTAGCTAGTGAGAAATTTGGAATAGAGAATGGTTATATTTATAGAGATGTAGTTAAAGAAGTTGTTGAAGGATATTTGTTCATCAAAATCTTTATCACTATCAATTAGAAAGTATATAGAGAGGCTCTTGAATATGCTCTTAGTGTTGCAAAATTCTTACATTCTAAATAGAGTTTTAGTGTTTTCTACATTGTGTATGTTGCAACAAATATGTCCCATTACTTTTTAGCGCTTTGTATGCCATATTCTTTGTAGCAAATATGGCCTTGCTGTTAGGTAGCATCACAACAACAAAAAACTTCGAAGTTAAAAATTTTATATGTGATTGTAGTATTCTAATCGATGATAATTTTCTTGTCGTTGCTAAACATGCATGTTTGCAAGCTTGCAGCTCACCTAAGATAGTATGAGGAAATGCAGCACCAAACTTTTGGCAAGTAAATATTGAAAAACACATGGAGTTGACACGGTGCTTTCTTTTGGCTCTCTTGAGGTGCAATCAAAATCAGAAAAAGTTGCAACGTGCTAAAGATTCAGTGTTGCCATCTACGGTGATAACCAAATATACCCTTAATATTGTCGGTTTCTAGTTAGAAAAGATACCAATTCAATAGTTCTTAGTATTCTTTGCATATCTTTGTATAGTTATTATCAATTACTAAAAAGGAAGAGATTGAAATATCTATTTGAGTTCTGATAGTTAAATAACAATATTTGTGGACTAATGATTTCATATATAAGATGAAAAGTATAAAGCTTAGTCCATGAACCAAGGTTAAATTACATGAGCCCGTGAAGAGGATATGGCATGAAGCTTGTGATGCAAGAGCTCAACAAGTGAAGAAATGGAAGTGATGGATGCTAAGAAGTGGAAAGGATGAAAGACAAATCCAAGGTAAAGGTATAATATACCAATATAGGCCTTTGTTTTTCATCGGCCCTAAGAGGTGATTAGAGAAGTGAAATGGCAGGGTTGTTATAATTGATAATCATACTATAAAGAGGGTGAATCAGTTGCTAATGTGATTATATAG